TCAAAACTTTGAGACAACCCCTGCCGAGAGTTAATATTTATAACCTGGTTACTTGTGTCAGATAAGTAAGGCTGTTGTCTGACAGTAGATCTGGGGTTATTTTGTATTGTTGTTTGTGGGCTATCTCCTGATAGTACCCAAATATATGTTGAGGACACACCCCTATTGTGGTCTTTACTGGGATTTGAGCCAACAGGTTGTCTATCCTGCAGAAATGACCCATTCACTATGTTGTGATTTTGGTCAGCTTGAGACGTCCCCTGCTTATATTCATTAAAATGCCTTTCTTGATAATATCCATCTATAAGCTTGTTATGAACATTTTCTGATTTATCATGTGCAGACATACTATGTTCAATTTTGAGTGCATGCCTGTTTTTGCAAAGGCCCCACAACTGAGATATGGTTGAGATCATCTTAAAACGCCCCCTGGTGTTCATGCTCCCGTATGTTCACTTTGAGCAGATCCCAAAACGTGAGTATTTTTTGTATTGCTGCCGTCACTGTATTGTGATTTTGCTCAAAACGTGGCCCATTATGTTATAAAAAGGGGAAAATATGAGGCGGGGCCCTTTAAATTTTGTTGTAAAAAATTTTATTTTTACCCTATTAAAATTTTTTGGGTTTTAATCCGGTCATTTTTGAGGAAAAAACCCCCGGGGTTTTGGAAATGCTTTGGAAAAAATTTTGACAAAAATTTTTATTTTTTATAAAAGGAATAATCCTAAAATTTGGGGTGTTGTGCTTTTATTTTTAAAATCTCCAAATTTTTTTGCTTCGGAAAAAAAACTAGGCTTTATTTTTCCCTTATAAAAGGTTTAAAGAAATTTTGTTTTTAATTATACATAAATTAAAATGAATTTCCCGAAGGGGGGGTTTTAGATTGGTTTTATTTTTCAAAGGGGGTAAATAGTGGGTCATAATGCAAGTTGGTTTTTCTTTTTTCAAAAAAATCAGAAATGAAAACCCTTTTTTTTGGCACTTTCAATAGGGAAACCACCAAAGAACCTTTGGGGGTTTGCCAAAGTGGACAAGAAAAAATGTTAAATTGATTTATATAGGAAAACGGACGAGGGCCCCCAAAATGTAACCGTTTTTGCTTTAAGTTCAATTACCTCCTATTTTTAAATACTTTACCAACTAACATTAATAAAAAACCACAACATTTTCAAGTTTAATTTTGTTTTATTTGGACATGAGTTTTACTAAGAAATTTTCTGATTTATAATAATACCAAATTAAAATTGTAATTCTATAATATGAAAATTACTTAGAGTCAAAATAATAATTATAAGTCAACAAAGGCTTTTAAATTTATAATGGGAAAAAGATTTTGAAAAAAAAAAGTTTTATTTTTTTAAAGGAGACAGGTGGGAAAGGTGGCTTAGCCCTTTGACAGGTAAAAGTTACCTTATTGTCCGTGAACAACAAGCAATGCGAAAATGGTCAGAAAAATCTCCCTTATTTAGGGGCTGTCTAAAAATGAACTCACAAAAAGTCTCATGCTAGAACATATGGAAAATAGGAGTAGTTTCAATTTAATCAGTTACTTAAGAAAGCATTATCAATAAATAAGAAAAACCATGAAAGCGTAACATTTAATCATTAATTCTTGAAATGACCAAAAATTTAAGAGGACCAATTTAACACTTGAAAAGTCATGGATTAAAATGAATCTAAAATGTTTTACTGTAAACAGAAGAATTTTAGAGAGAAATAAATTTAAAGAATAAAAGATAAATTAAATTGTTTTAGAAGTAATCAAAATCTGCCACAATAGTTACTCGTGGCGACGAGATAGTATCTCGTTGTCCACGACTTAGCTATTCTCGTAGCCACGACTTAGTAACTCGTGGCGACGAGATAGTATCTCGTGGCCACGACTTAGCTATCTCGTTGCCACAACTTAGTAACTCGTGGCCACGGGACATAGTATCTCGTGGCCACGAGATAAATTAAAACACACACATGTCACCTTGGTGCCACCGTAGTCTTACAAGTTAAGCAACCAGGGTAAACAAGGACGCTATTTTAAAACCCCCCCCCCTTAGGTCGTATTTAAAAAATTAAAATTAAAAAAAGTCCCACCCGTTGGGAAAAAAATTTTTGCTTAAAAAATTTTTTTACATCAGTGTTTAAAAAAAAAAGGTTTTTCCCTGAAAAAAAATAAAACTCGAAATAAAAAAAGGTTTACCCAAAAAATAAAATTTTGAATAAATATGTTTGCTTCAAACTATTTTCTTATAACTTACTCGTGGTACAGGGGTAACACGCTCGTTTAAAAAGCGAGAGGTCTGGGGTTCAAATCCAAGTCAAGACAATTCATGATGTTTTTTTTTTTTTTTTTTTTTTTAAGTATTTTTAGCAATTTTAACATTATTTCTTAAGAAAACAAGGCGGCGACTATATGCTCCCCCGAAATTTTTCGGGGAGCATAAAAAATGTATCAAACTCAAACTGTTATAGCAAAAAAAAAACAATGTTCCAATAAGGGTTCGTTTGAATGTTAAGCATCGTTTGGTGGTAATATTTTGTGAAAAATCTGTATTTGCAGTCCGTTAAGCGGCATTTTCTTCATACGCATTGCATATTTTGGGCATACCAGAACCCACGACAGAAAGCGTATTTCATTGAAGACTACATAAAACTCGGAACAATAAAGGGTAAATATAAAGGAAAGCCAGAATAACATTTCGATTTTCTTAAAAAAAGCTTTGAAATATATATTAATGTTTAAAATGTTGCAAACTTACCCTGTCTTCCCCACATATCGAGTTATACTGCACATCTGGAGCCGCGGAAATTCACATATTTTTTTACCGATGCTCAGTTTTGAGATTTATATGGGGTTCCACCCCCGTGTTTATCTGTGTGTTTGGGTTTGTTTACCCTCGCCACTCTATATTGGTAAATATAGAGTTCTAGCTGAGCAATCAAAAGCAAAGTTACTTAAACATACATCATGTGTTAATTACAGATTCAAACAGCGTTATCAATGTCAAAAATACAGGGGTAAAAATTTAAAAAAAAATTGCATTCCAAATGGGTAATATTATATGAAGATTTCGGTGAATACTTTTTTTATTTATTTATAAACAAAACTCATGGCCCTTAAGGGCATAAGAGTGAACAATCAACAAAACAAAAATAATAATACAAACACCCATGCCAACTTCTCATTCATAACCACGGAATGACGTCATCATAAAAGGTGAACGGCCGACGCCATTAAAACTGAGATTTCAAGCACAACCAGCAAATACTAGAAAGCAAGAAATAAACATAAATATTTTGTAAACCCCACTCATATTTATTTTCAGTTTCATAACTGCAGTGAGAACTTGTCATTTAGTATTTCAATATAGATTTAGTACTGATCAATATCTTTTAAGGCATGTGTTTCATAGTGTTTGATTAATGGATTTTGAGGGATTGGGGTTTTTTAGCAACTGATAAAGTGGCCGGGAACTGCAGAATTGCCCCTTAAAAAAAGCAAAATGTTAAAAAAATCTTGTTTTTTCTTTACTTCCAGGGTTAAAAAAAACAAAGCACAAAATTATACCATTATTATTATATAGTTGACAAAGTTAGTCATTGTATATGGCAAATGAGTATAACCTTGAAACAAAAAAGTTTTTGAGAAATAACATTGGCAGCATTTCCGAGGCTTAATGTGCCTTTAAACCTTCATTTGCATCTCTATCCTTTTATTTCCTTTTCTAATGTAGCTGGTTTTCTTCTGCCACTTAGCGACCGAATTTTACACCTATTGTCAGGAAATAATTAAGCAAGTAGATTCTACACCACCTTTTTTTTGCACCAGTTTCTATCAGATATTAAAATAATATTGGTGTAACGTTAAGGTCGATTATGAAACAGTTTCTTGCAACTTATATGTCAAATAAGACAGCTCAAACCAAAAACCACGATCCCTTTGATTTGACCATAAGCTTTGATCTTTGAATTTTAACCAAAACAACGATCCCTCACATTCAATTAACCAAAAGCCACGATATCTGGGATTTAACAAACACCACGATCCCTTGCATTGACTATAAGTCACGATATATGTATATGGGATTTAACAAACACCACGATCCCTTGATTGACTATAAGCCACGATATCTGGGATTTAACAAACACCACGATCCTTTATAAGTCACGATAGCTGGGATTTCATCATTAGTCACGATACTTGGAATTTTTCCAAAACCGTGATCCTTGAGAGTTAACAAAAACACGATCCCTGAGATTGAACCAAAAAACCACGATCCCTGGGTTTGAACAAAAAAACGACCCCTGGGATTGAACTTTATTTCATCATTTTCATAATTGATATAAAAACAGTAGCATCTTTCGTACGCTTGTGTAATATTGGTGTAATTTCAAATATATCCTGTTAACACTTTAAAAATACCAAAATGTTTATGAATATAAATTGTATGAAAGGCATATGAAGCCTCAGAAATGAAGAAAGGACAAGCATGTGTTTACTAATGCTGCAGTCATATATTAAGATCATGTAAGATGCCTGAAGAAAATAAATCTGAATTTGAAATAATTTGTGATAAAGGTAGAAAAATGTAAACACAGTGGTACTTTTACCCCCATGCATAATAATAAATCAAAATAACTGTACTAATTTCCAAAATGCAGAAAAGGCAATTTATCTGTTGCTATTTCAACATTTTGCTAAATTACTCAATCTGCATGCTTATGTTTGTGATTTTTATCATGTAAAGTAAAAACATTAAAGCAATATTTAATGTGCATGTATATGCATAATTCCTCTTTAACAACATAAACGTTGTAAATAAATTAGTAATGTTGTTAACTTGGCAACAATGACTTTTCTAAAATATTCAATAATGTTGCTGCAGTTGATTGTGATAACCAACGAAATTGACAAAATCTATTCTAAATATGAAATTATTCCCATATTTATATTCATATGAAACATATGCGAGCTGACGTACGTAACTTATATTAATTAAATATACCTCAGAGTTAACTCTGTCCTGATAGGTCTCTGAATCTGCATCATATTTCCAATTAATTTGTCATCTGTTTATTGTAATTTCATCGTTCCTCTTATGTTAATCCGTTCTTGCTATCCATTGAAATGAAGATTATATAATTAATATTTTTCTGAATCAATATGATCACTACACACAGTCATTATTCATTTCCATACATCCGCCATGTTACATACATTTGTTTCGCGTCTTGAAATAGTCAGACGATTGAATAAATTATGTAGAGCAAGCGAACACACGCGTACGATCTATTTTCCGTTATTGAATTTCAGGGTACACTTCTGCGCAATATTGGAAAATCATTACAAGAGAAAACAGTGGAATGGACAGACAGTTATGATGAGAAACGACGTCTGTTGAATCGATGTGATCAATATGCCTTATACACTCATACCAGGAACTATCCTCTCTGTTTCATGTCTATTTTGGTTACTAAATAATTATAGTACATAATGCTTATAGTTTCACTGTCAAGTTGAGTTCAATTATATAATATAGTTCTAGTAAATACTCTCAATTAAACAGTAAGCATAAATCATTTTTATAAATGCCATTTTTATTTTATATCTTAAACAGTTTCACATTAAAAATAATACAATTACTTCATTTGAAAATGACTCGTTCATTGTTAAACAAAACAAGCGTAACGGAGGGAGAAAATACGAAAACACGAAACACCACGAAAACACGAAAGGAAAAAGACGAAAACGCGACAAAGACGAAAACGCGAAGACACGATGACAAAAACGCGTAATTATCGATTTGAATTTGTCGAGTTCTTTGAAACTGTATTATTGAATTAATTGAAACTTTGTATGATCTAAGAACATAATAACAGAAACCCTGGAGGCAAAGATAATCGGGAATCACCGACCCCGTTTTTAAATTATCTGTCGTTATGATTCAGGGAAATTCATATTATTAAAAGCAGAAAAGTCGGCCTTGTGGTAAAAATGTCTCTCAACACAGAGACCTTGGGCATCAGAGCTAATGTTTTTTTTTTTCTCTTTTTTTATTTGGCAGTTATAGGAAGTGGGCTCGAAAGTGGTTGCAAGATTCAACCTTTCATCATAGTCAAACCAGTAAAATATACGATTTATTAACCACAATCACTACATGTATTTTAAACTTAAGGGTTATTTTTCGTCGGGGGGGGGGGGGGTAATTTTGTTATGTTTTCAGAGAATGTGGAGGCACATTTTCGACGGCCTAATGCATAAAGTGTGTAAGTGCATAAAAAGTGCCTGCAAGCTTTGATCCATTTCATACTTAGAAAAAGTATCTCCGACTAATGAATGTGAAATAATGATCGCATTCCTATAATCATATATATTCCTATGAAATTTCTGCAAAGGTAAAATGACTGATATATATAAATAAATAAATAAATAAATAAAATAAAATAAAAAACGACCCAAAGCTGTGATAAATGTGTCTGTGATAAATGAAAGATATACACTTTACACATCGTGCATTATATTTAAACTCAGACACTCCAATTTGTTAAAATCTTGCAAAAGATAACAGTGATGATCGGCCTTTTTGTCGAAAAAGAAAGTGCCAAACCTACAACGCACTGTTCCGTTTTAAGATTATATATAAGGTAGAAGAAGAGTGTTTACAATTTTCTAAATGCACGGTGTGAAAAAAGTTAGCAAAGTAACCTGTATTGCTAAAGAAATGGTGGTTGTTCCACAGCGTGTCCTAGTAAAGCTCCATAACGTTAGGCAACTAAGTGACATTTTCGTGGCATAAGTATTTAAGATTTGTTTTAAAATATTTTTTGATGAATTGCTTATGATATGTGACTTTGTATCTTTCTTAGACGAAAGACAGTCTCGAGTTGTGAAAGTGTTGTCTTGTGGTATTTCTTAGCCGATCGTGTCTATGTATTCTCATGTACAGCGCTTGTGGTTCAAGTCTGAAACCAGACCGTCCACAGGCAGTATGCTCATAAGTGCCTGAGCGGAAAACTGAACAAATCAGATTTCTAACAAATCTAAAAAAGCCACTGCGTTGGTACGCGGTTTTTAAAGAATTTGTAATAAAACGATTTCAAAGATATTGTAAAAAGTAAACAAATCTAAATTTACTGCTACAATAGTTTACATATTACAAACATGTCTTTCTGCTTTTTTTCTCGTATTAAAGGAAGACCACTGAGGCCCAATAGCATAAAACATAAAAATTTCAAATCTTTATATTCCATTTTGTTTTTGCAACTTTTTTGCCGATTTTAGTGAAAAACGTTGCACAAGGCTTGGTTTGCACAATACAATTTATTATTCCAGGGAAATGAAGCGAGAGAATTTTGTACACAAATTACATAGGTTCAGACCTACACCCAGTTACACAAAATCTTTAAATAATATCGTTGGTCCCTTCATTTCAAAAAGCTCAGTAGAGTCCCTTTAAATATAGTTTGTCTTCAGATTACGTTGGCCAATGATGTAAGGTAAAAAAACAAGACCCTTCGCATCAAAATATAAAACAGCGCCAGGGTTTCAAACACCGGTCGTGAGCATTTTTCTTCTGCACCCCAGCCTCATTTGATATGACACTAATCAGTCGGGCATACTTCCTGATCGGGAAACAAGGGGATTTCCCCTCAAGGTTTCCCGATCAGGCAACAAACGTCAAAATCTTTCCCGATCGGGAAGTTTTTTAGGCCTTTTTTATGTAGTTTAAGAAAAATGGCCGCTGCATAACAATTTTCAATCCACTTCAATATGAATATTACATTTTAGTTCAGAAAAGATACATCTAAAATCCTACCGAGTCATTTTCTTTTTAAATGTTTACAATTTAAATAATCTGAAAGTGAACTTAAGTAAAGTTTTTAGATTTTACCAAAAACTAGCCACTTCCCGTTTTGGGAACATTGCTTCCTGATCAGGCATCTAGCAAAATATTCATCATTAAAAGTTTAAGATACATTGCTTCCCAATCTGGAAGTACCTTATATTTGTTGTAGTTCCTGGCCTTGATGATTAGAAATTGCCAAGCCTGGTCAGTTTTTAAAGACATGTGGCACATAATTCAATCACGACGAGTAGAATATATCTGGCGAAACTTATGTTCTTGTTAGTCGTAATAATACTTATCAAAACATTAGCTATACTTGACGGACAGTACAAAAATCATCATTACAATACAAAAGTTTCATACTGTTAAGATTGTAAAGCACATGTTGAACAACATTGCATAGAGTGTTATTTCTCAAAACAATTACCAGGCAGCTCAAATAATTCAAATGTTGACTAGAGCTCACATTATTTTTTTTGGCTATAGCTCAAGACGTGTTTGCATACTACAGTGTAACTTCCGAAAACCGAACACCCATGGGACTTGTCAAAAAGTTCGGATTTCAGAGGTTTCCGGAATTCAGAGGTTTATGATAATGTGGACAAGACTAAGCCACTTAATATCACTTAATGTCAAGGAAGATGTGGCCATTACTGTTATATCATAATTATGTAATAGTTTTTTAATCAAGATAAAGATGTGAATGAAAAGAATACATTTTTATCTTACCTGCAAATGCTTTTGGATTTCTATCAGTTTGTAGAAATGTTGTTAATTGCATAAACTTACATATCGTCCGATGCTAGCTAATTAATTATTACATCAAATGCAATAAAATCCCTAAAGACGTTTGATGCATACATTGTCCAATTAATTGTCATTTAATCCGCTAATTTACTCTTCAAATTAACTGACCGCCGTAAATTACTTTGATTAACCGCATCACTTCAAACATACCATTTCACAGTTTGTGATTTTAACGCGTGTCAAATTACACAATCACCGCTAATTAGTTAACAATCGATAGGGAGATTAAATCTTCCTGCAGGGTAAACATTCTCGATTTACAATGTATTTCACACCTTTGGATATTTCCGATTTTTGGAGGTAAAATTGCATTGATTTGACTCTAATTTTACGAAAATATCGTCCGGAATTCAGAATTTAGAAGTTCCGGAATTCAGAAGTATTATATAATAGAAAATAGAAGGGAAAAAATCGGGACCGAAAAAATTGTTCGGTTTTTAGAAGTTTCCGGATTTCAGAAGTTCCGGAATTCGGAAGTTACACTGTACATGTGTTTGTAGTGACTGTGTCATATTTCTGAAACTTAAGTGTATAAAGCTATATATCTGATGCAAAAATTATTGTTAAAATTTTAAAAAAGTATACTTCCAAAATTATTGTGTGAAATAAATATGGTAATTTTTTGCCTTAAACGCGAATGGCTAATATAGCAAAACAGTATCGTGTTTCTGTTTACTTACAAGATTCATTTGTATTTAATAACAGTGATATTCTATGTTACATTACTTTTTCAGGAGTCAACCATATAATAATGGAACCAGCATAATTTTGCTGTTAATAAAAGTTTAAATATTTCGTAAGATATAGAACATACCCTTTAAGCCACTTTAATTTTAAAAAATGAATAAAATATAAGATAAAATAACTAAATAAAACAAGAAATATCATAATGACATATATGCCCCCCCCCCCCCTTCTAGCTGAAATTGAATGAAATCTATCATTAGTAAGTTAAACAAAATGAAGAATAGCTGAAATAAATTATATACTACCATGTAAATGTAACTATAAGCATCTACTTTGAACATTCAAGGTTATTGTAACCTTGTCCTCTGACCTAGTGACCTCAAAATCAACAGGGGCCCTCTACTAGTTAAGAACAATTAAAATGTGAAACACAAAAACTTGATAACGGGTAGTTTTGAAGATAATGAGTAGAAACCATTCTGACATTTAACGTCCTTGTGACCTTTGACCTAAAGACCTCAAAATCGACAGGGGTCATCTACTAATTATAACCAATCAATAAGTGGAATATAAAAGGTTTAGTGATAAATATTTCTCAAATAATGGTTAATAGTTTTCAAAATAATAAACGCAAACCATTCTGACATTTAAGGACCCTGTTACCTTTAAACTGGTGACCCCAAAATCAATAAGGGTCATTTACCACATATGACTTATCAACACATGAAATAGGAAAACTTTGTGAAAAATACTTTTCAAGATATTGTGCGGATACTATTTTGACATTCAAGTCACTGTGACCTTGACCTTTGACCTAGTGACTCCAAAATCAAAAAGGGTCATCTTCTAGTTATGACCAATCAATATGTGAAATATAAAGACTTTCTAATAAATAGTTTTCAAGATAATGAGCGGAAACGATTCCGAAATTTAAA